AAGTATTTCTTATACAACCATATGCTTGAGGTTGGTTTGAGGACTTCTTTTGAAACTTCTTGTCCATTTTCCTTTGCATTTTTAAGAAGAGATTAAAGTAACTTACACAAAGAAAGAGGAGGAAGAAAAGAAAAGAAATGAAGGGAGGAAAGGAGGAATGGGGGACTAGGGAGAGGAGGAAGTGGAGGAAGGGAGGGAGGGAGGAAGGGAGGAAGGAAGGAGGGAGGCAGGGAGGAAGATTTGGACCCCTCTCCAGCAGTGGTGGTTAATTTCATTTCATTTTCTTCCATGGGATGGTGCTGGGTACCTGGGTAAATACCAATAAGAGCCATATGAATATTCCATACTTTGCCCAAAAGAAAAAAGAAATTCCCAATCCCAGACTAGCACCAACTAGAACTAGGAAGCTTGAAGCAAAGTTATTTTCTTTAAAGTCAGAAAAATTGTATTTTCCATTATTCATTCCTTCAGAACATACTTTCTAAGCATCTACATAAACACTACTAAGCTCGTGTATAATTAACCTCAAAATAATAATTAAACGGTACTTCTTTGTAAAATTAACCCAGCTAATGAACTCATTTACTAATCATCAATTTTGGAAAACAAAAGAGCCCTAGCAACAGTTTTAAATTAATTAAAAATTGAAGAATTCTACACAGACCTATTATCCTTCCCTTTTTAAAGTGAAAAGGTAGATTCTCCTGTTACTTAAGGACAGTTTAGGCATAAAAGATGTCTTAATTATTCTGAGTTTGAGCTCTGAATTATGGTAAAGTTAAATCAAAACCAGTTATTAGAAGACACAACCTATGGCATATCTAAAGGCGAGAACCGGGCAACTCCAGCGGCAGTCATGGCGTATCACGGCCTCACGGTGCCTTTGATCGTGATGAGCGTGTTCTGGGGCTTCGTCGGCTTCGTTGTGCCCTGGTTCATCCCCAAAGGTCCCAACCGGGGAGTTATCATCACCATGTTGGTGACCTGTTCGGTTTGCTATCTCTTTTGGTTGATTGCAATTCTGGCCCAACTCAACCCTCTCTTTGGACCACAGTTAAAAAATGAAACCATCTGGTATCTGAAGTATCATTGGCCTTGAGGAGAAAGACGTGCTCCACAGTGCCGAATCATTGAGGTCACGAAGAAAATGCCTTCTAGATGCAAAACCACCTCCAAACCCAGGTCGCCTTCTTTGGCCCATTTTGGGCATCAGCTGCCTTAAACAAACTAAGTTCTCACCACATTTGAAGATCGTTTTCTACAATGCAGTATTTTTTCCTTCATCTTTTTTACACTTTGATGAGAGATGTGCCTTCTTAACCTACGCTGTGCTGTGCTAACTCTACAAAATGTCCGTGCACTCTGCTGAGGGAGAAGATGCAGTTCCTCTGAGAACTCTGTTCCTCTCACCTTGGCATCTGAGGATTTGAAAAATATCTCCTGCCAGCTCACAACATAGGAATCAGCAATGTGTTGAAGAACTGCTGCAAGACAAATAAGACTCCAGTGGGGCAGTTAGTGGGAGATTGTGCTCAGCAACCTCTGTCCCAGCAGATTTACACCGAGCTATATTTTCAGGATGAATTTCTTATATCTGCCATCTTTTGGAATAAATTATTTTTCTGTTTTCTGTGGAAAAAAAAATAAAATAAAAAATAAAGGCGAGAACCCTTTATAGGGAAATTGAAAAAAAAAAAAAAAACACCAAAAACAACAGTAATTACAAGGAACCACTTAAAATTATATTAAATTTTTTCAAATTTCTCCAAAATTATTTAAGAGTACATTCAAAACAAGCTTAAGGAATACGTTGGTGGGAACTTCTATTTTTATAGGGCATAGAACAATCATTCTATAAACAAAAACCAAGATTTTAATTTGTCTTTTTATACATTATTAATGCAACAATATGCAGTATCTGAATCTGCAGTTTGTTGCTACGTGTACCTAGACAAATACGATCGGCACACATATGTATAATAGCACATGGATAAATAAATATATACATGAAAAATACATGTATGTATTACAAATATTTTTTAAATTCAAGATATAACTTATTAGAATGTTTGGCTATACATCATATGGATATTACCTTTTTAATTAACTATAATAACTTTTACAATAATCACACCAAAACTCAAGTCCATTATTTTGTATATATATTCATATTTTAGTATAATTATAGTTTCTACAAAGATTAAGTTTGTACATTATCATATTTAATCAAAGTAACTAACTTCTTTTCTCTAGAGATAAGAGAATTCTCAAGAGAAAAGGTACTATCTAGTAATTTTTTTTCTTTATGAGCACAAATTTGCTCCTAAAGATGATATATGCATATACATATATAGCCTTAGGGCCAGCGAGATAGCTCAGCAGACTAAGTGCCTGCTTTGGCAAGCATAGGGACCAGGGTTTGATCCCTGGTCCAGCATGCCATGCCAGCCCCACCCCAGGGTGTGCTGAGCCAGCAACAAAGTCTGTGTGTGGTGGTGCATGCCTGTAATCCCAGCGCTGAGGAGGCTAAAAACAGGAGGACCACCACGAGTCCAATCCACGTAGTGAGACCCTGTACCAAATACACAAATGAAAAAAATAGATAGATAAAAGTAAATAAACAAAAACCAGCCTTTGCAAATCATCCAAGTATGGGCGATAAACAAAATACTCTGCAGATGAACTAGACGGGGGGTGTACTCCACGAGATGGGTCTTTCCTTCCCTCTTGGTTCCAAGACATGGTTTAAATGAACAACTGTATTTATAACCATAGCTCCCCAAAGAGCCCCTGTCATTCAGATTGTCTTTGGTGAAGGCCGGTTAGAGAGAGAAGCAGCTAAGTGGAGGTGGAGTTAGACATCGCGTGTTGGTCCCCTAGCAGAAGTGTAGTTTCAGGTGGATCTGTCCCCCAAGCACCCACTGCAGTGTTCCCGATGAGAACGTGGCCCAAGTCAAAGCCAACCCCTGCTGATTCCCAAGAAGACTAATGCAAAGCAGCTCTCGGGGACAGAGAGACAAGGCTGATGATGGCCAAGGTTCTCATAAGGATGTAAGACAGCAACCCAGGTCAAATCTACCCCCAGAGGAGAACCTATGAACGCCTCAGACCTGAGCTGGTCCTAGGGCCGTCTTACCTGCTCGTGTGCGTCATCTCCCGGCAGACCTTTTCTTTAAAAGATAACACTCAAAATGCTAGTGTTATGGTTGGTGTCAAGTTGTCCCCCCCAAAGCCTCAGATGGTGGCTTCTGGAGTTTGTGACTGATTATTGTGGGTGTGGATGCTGCTCCCGCCCCGGGGCAGGTGATTTGCATTACGATGTGAGGTGCACAGAGAAGCTCGCTAGCCTCCAGAGCTGCTGTCACTCCCTTTGGCTCCTTTTGCTCTTTAGGGCCACCTTGAAAGGCTGCCCTCTGCCATGTGCCTCTCTGCCTTGGAGCCAGCTGAGTATGGACTGAAACCTCCGGTAACTGCGAGCTAAATAAACCTTTCCTTCCCTAATTTTGAGTGTCAGGTGTTCGTCCCAGTGATGAGAGAAGAGTGACTGAGACAGCGAGACAAGCCCACAGACCTTAGGAACAGATACCAGTAAGCTAGAAAACTATTTCACCAAAGAACAATAAAAATCTCATCAGATAACTGAAAAAAGAAATCACTGCTCACCTCATCCCTAAGGCACAGAAAAACGGGGGCCAAGGGGTGAAGGATGGAAAAAATATAGAAGGAAAAGAGAGGGGGAAGAAAGAAAGAAACACTCAAAGTGAAAGAGCCTTAACAAACTATTGAAGCATGAACTTGCAGCCATTGGGCGATGTGATTGTAAATAGGGATAAGATGGTCCCATGCACTCGGAAATCGGAGAACTGAGTCACACTAAAGCAGAAAAGCTCTTGTGAACGTTGATAGAAACTTAAGTCAGCCACTGACCACTGGGAAGGCGCCTGGCTTAGAACAAACACGGAGTAACAGGCTCATGACGGCCAGGGAGACCGCCCTCCAGGGAGGACCACGGGCAGCTTAGCAAGTGGGCAGGTGCCTGGCAGAATGTTTTATAAGACATGGGTTTATGTTCGGTGAGTTGAGGGTACCTTCAAAGAAGCAGGTGTCTAGACTGGCTTAGATACTGTCAGAAAGCGGTAATCATTCTGCGATTGTGAGTGGATATGTTTGTATTTTTTAACTAAACAGCAAATAGGATGAAAGCAAGCCAAAGCTGTAGTTCTGCAGGTGGTGAAGAAGCTGCTGGCTCATGTGCTACTCCGGGAAGGGTATGTTGACCCTGGTGTGACATCTGCCCGATTTTCTTATCCCTGTGCTGAGATGCATGCGGGGCGGCCTCAGCTTGGTCTCCCTCCATGAAGGGAAAGTTTGTTTGTTTGCAGTGCTAGGGATTGAACCTAGGGGTACCCTACCACTGAGCTACACCCCCAGCCCCTTTAATTAGCTTTTTTCTTTTTTGTTTTTCTTCAGTTGGAGACAGGGCCTCCCTGCGATCCCCAGGCTGGTCTCCAAGCTGAGCTCCTCCTGCCTCTGCCTCTCCAATAGCTGGGATTACATGCACAATTATCCCTACAGAAGGGTAAATTGTGAAATCAGCCTAAAGGGTTTCAAATGCTGCTGGAGGTGGGAAGAAGGAGGACAGAACAGACAAAGGAGCTAGCCCAGCCCATTTCTAATTTTATATGTTTAATTTTGATGAAAACATTAAAATTGAAAACATTTTTTTAAAATTCTCTTTTAAAAAAAATTAGTAGAAGTATCTGATGAAGAGGAAAGTGGGGGAGGGCCGGCCAAATAGCTCAGTGGCAAGCAGGTGCAGGGGCCAGGGGTTCGATCCCCCGGCCTAGCAATTGAGACTAAGTGTGATGACATGTACCTGCAATCCCAACTCTTGGGAGACTGTAAACAGGCAGATCTAGTAGTGAGGCCCTGAACACCCTGTAGACCCTTCCCTAAAAGAAAGAGGGGGGAGGGCAAGGGGGAGGAGGAAGGGAGAGAGGGAGGGAGAAGAGGAGGAGGAGAAGGAGGAGGAGGAGGGGAGAGGGCAAGGGGGAGGGGGAAGGGAGAGAGGGAGGGAGAAGAGGAGGAGGAGGAGGAGGAGGAAGAGGGGAGAGGGCAAGGGGGAGGGGAAGGGAGAGAGGTAGAGAGAGGGGGAGGAGGAGGAGGAGGGGGAGGAGGAGGAGGAACAACAGAGCTAGGGAAAGGACTGTTACATGAGGACCTGCCAGAAGCCATACTGCAGGGACTGTCCCAGAGTGGATGAGCCAGGAAGTGTGGGTAGAGCCAGCCGGGATTTCCACACAGGACAGGAAGTGCCCCTGGGGCCTAGTCTATGATCAAATGCACACAAATGCGGTTGCAACCCACTGTCACGGTCCACGGTGCTGTGTACCACCGTCAACACTTGTTCCCTTGGGGCTTTGTTTCTGCCTCTTTCCACCAGCCCAGCAATGATCCCAGCCTTATTTTCCTGATGAAATTGTTCCACAGATCAAAAGAAATGTTGGGTGCAAGCCATAATCTGTAAAGTTTTATGTGTTCTAGACACACAGAAAATGATAGTGCGTGCCCTGAGGAGCACAGAGGTCATTGTGAGCATAAGACCAGAAATTTGCTACATTTATGAAGCAAAAAAGAAAAGAGTGAGACTCACTGTGGAATGCTGATACTCACCAATAAACACAAACACTAAAAGCATCAATTTGATGCTGAATATAGAGTAATGTAAGAAGGTTAAAAAAAATTCCCCCTGAACTTAATGTTCTTATTAAAAGGCATCTGTCCTTGAATTCACCTTGACAGGGTTGCACAGCAATAAGGGATCGTGCAAAGACAGACTTCTCTAGAGAAAGGGAGGGAGCAAATGAAAAGGCTACAGCCCGTGTTTTGTTCACTGCGCTTTCTCCAGTTTGGCGGGAGGCAGTGAAGCGAGATTCACCAAAGCAAGTCCTTGACCTCGATGCTTTGGACCATCTGCGGCTTGTAATGTGGACACATTCAAGGATTTCCCAAGCAAAAGCTTTATTTTAGGGAGAAATAAAGACCTGACTTAGATTTCCTGCACTCTGGAATCCACATGGAGACACAAAAGAAAATCCATACTTTCATACTGGTTATGCATTTTGATTAAATGTTAAGCACATCTGGGGAACATCAGCAGGTAAACCAAATCACAGAACAGGTAGACTTCTGTTTCACAGGCTTAAATCTCCCCTCTACTATAGAATGGAGGGGCTAAGATTATAATCCTCCAGATTTCTTTGTGAATTTCTACTCTGTAGAGTATGCTCTTAGTGGAAAAGCAAATCATTGAGCAAGGCCACAGGCTACTTGTACACCAGTGTAGGCCCAGGCACAC